CAAGTATGCCACCGCCCTGTAAAAGTGAAATTTAAACGAAATTTAGGCGATGATTTATCACGTGCACGGTGACGTAAAAATTGAAACCCGACATGTGAAGGCCATACTCTTTTGGGCAACTTAGAGGACATTCTTCGCTTCAAAACCCTCTAATAATTAAAACAGCTTGTGCTGAACAGTTAATCATAAGTAGGATGTTAATTTCTTTAGGCCTATTATGTATTAGATAATAAAAGTTGAAAAAATAAAAATTACAGCGAGTTGTAATTTTGTAAGATCTGTAAAAGGAAAATTTGTAATGAAGGAATGTAAATACAATAAAAGAAAACCTTGCTTTGTAGGCCGAAATCCCTCAGAATTGTTTTTGTCAGCTTAATTTGTAAACTGCTTTCAGCGTAAATAATTTGATAACTTACCAGTAAATTACTAAAATCACAAATTATAATTATAATGTCCTCCAGACTGAATTTCGGCCACGGCGGCCTGCCTCAAAAGAGACTAGCCATCAGCGCAGGACAATATTATAGTGCTCAAGCGTATGCGCAAGCATAAGTGCACTCTCTATTCCCTCACTCTCATAACCCGATGGGACGGTAAACTGACATGACCGGAGAGAGATCAGGCGCAAGACTAACGGCTTTACGTGCTTTCCGAGGCACAGGGGTGAGACACTGCTAACTTCCAGACTCCGGGCAGCTACTGAGAATTTCTTTTTTCTTTTCTTAAATTTGGCCCGACCCGGGATTAGAACACAGGACCTCATCATCAGCAGTCGCACTACTACAACCACTAGACCAACGAGGCAGTATCTTCCTGATAACAACTGATATGAATAAATAACTGCGGTTGCCAACTGGATTGTCTAGCGTGGCAACTTAGCAATATCCCTCCTATAAGGCAATCTATGGGGGAGGCCTATGTTTATCAGTGGATTTTTATAGGCTGCAATGGGCAATAGTGTAAAAAAATGGACATAGGTATTGACTTTCATTAATTTTAGACATGTACACTGGATCATGTTAAATTATTTGTGCATTATTTATTCTAATTAACTGTATACGTTCTCGTATTATTTAGGTATTTATTATTTTGGGAACAAAAGTCTACTACTCCAGGCAGTTGTGTTGCCATAATATTATAAATATAAAAAAACATTTATTATGTGTAACCTTGCAATTAAAAAGAAAAGTCCATAATGATCTGATAACCTCCAATTGATGGTAATTTGGCAGACTTATAGTATATGAGAATCAAAATATCCAAACTCTTGATCTCTGTTATATTCTCTCAGCCTTAGAGGCTGATATACAGCCGTAATGAAAAGTATTCATCGTTCACTTTACGATAATAAAACATAACCCTATAATTTTTACAATTGAAATTAGTCCTTATATTATTTTTATTTAAAAGTTTATAGCATTTGCAAGACTTAGACGTAAAACGGACGAACTTAGTACCAAAACATTTTAAGTAATATTAAACGTTTTTTAATAAAGAAAATTGCTTGGATTTATTAAAATTTTATTTCGTTTACATTTAATTTATTGTCTTTTACAATAAAATATGGGAAATCGTGGATTCTAATATATAAAAATCCTAATTTATATATATATATATATTTATATATAATAATTAATGTATTGTATCATTACAAATTATTTAGTACAAATGGATAAATGCACTAAACTTAAAACACTGCAAATTTTTATATAAGTTTTATCATAAATATTGGACAGAATCACATTTAGATTCCTATATTAACATATAAATTGTTTAGATTGCGGCTAACGTTAGTATTAAAATAACTTTTCGCGACTTTATGTGAAACTTTGGGATACCCTAGCCGTACCTTAACGTACTGCCAACTGGATTAACCTGGTTTTAGCCATTTTAAAATATTGTGTACATAATGTACATAAAATACAATAAATAACCCTATTCATTTAACTTCTTTTATTTTTTAGACGATGATTTGCGGTTGAAATTTATTTTAAACGCTTTGAAATTAAGCAATATTACACTTTTTACAAGTTTATTATTAATACTAACAGGAGCCGCAACATAATATTATTCTACAAATAGACTTTAAATTCTTATCTAAGAGACATTTCTATATTATTATATAGAAATACCAATTTAACTTAATACAATAAATTCATACCCTTTGATTTTCCAATTAAATTATTGATATTTATTTATATATAATTTTTTTATATTTTCTTCTTTAGGCAAGTAGCGAATATTTTTATACTATAATATTGTTTGCATATTCCTTGCAAAACTAATTTAAAGAACGTAATTATTTGACTATCTAATATGTTTCAAAGGATACATTTCGCCTTGTAAATGTAAAATTTATTGTTTTCAACATTTACATACACTTAATAAAGCGCTTCGCTCGTCTCAAAAATATTTTAGAATACATTTTATAATAATATCTTCAATATATTTAACTTTGGTACTCATATTTTTATCACAGATCCATAAGAATGACTTTTGAAAACAAAAACGTTATTATGATTTTTTAAAGTACCAATTAAGTTGAAAACAACATTTTGGTCATAAAAATTTTAAAAAGTGTAACCAATGGTCTTTTAAAATAAAACGTCCCTTAGTGGACACATCAAAAATATTTCTTAAGGAACAATATCGATGCAAGTAAGTCTTCCCCCATATCTACTTCAATCTAGTAATCCAGTCTTACGATTTGGTTTGCATTCAAGGTGGCTGTGAGTTGCGTTACTAATGATGTTGAAGACACACATTAACGTGACGGATCAGAGAAACAGGAAAAAATTGTAAGGAATCACGCAAAATAATATATACATGTGTAATTTTAAACTAGTATAAGTTTAAGGGAATTATTTTATTAATTATTTGTGTATTATTTTTTTACTTTATTCATTTATTGACATAATAACAATATATTGTACATAAATACTCACGCCTGTTACACAGAGGGGTAGGCAGAGACTACAGACTTCCATATAGCACGATCCTGACATACTTCTCTCGCCTCTTCCACATCCATATACCTACGCATACATGCTCGTCGGTTAAGGGTACTCTTAATTTGGTCCATTTTTAGTATATCGCCAATTTGGTCGACAAACTTCCGCCTAGGACGTCCCTTTCCGACTGTTCCATTCACTTCTGCAACATATATTTGCTTTGTCAGTCTTTCCGCATTCATTCTTTCTACTTGACCAAACCACCGAAGTATCCCTTTCTTAATCCTGGTCACCACATCATCTTGCAAACCACACTCTTCTCTTATCACACAATTTCTCACCCTGTCACTCAGATTCAGTCCTAACATACTCCTTAGCGACCGCATTTCTACTGCATTTATTTTACTCTCGTGCTTCTTCTGCCACATGCAACTTTCACTACCATACGTTAAAGTAGGGACTAATACAGCATTGTGAATTTCCATACCTGCCTTTTTTGACACATTCTGACTTTTCACAATAGAGTGTAGAGTCCCATTTACTTTATTTCCTGCATTCACTCATCCTTCAATATCCTTATCATATCTCCCATCCCTGCTGAATACACATCCCAAATATACGAACTCATCCTCTTGCTCAATTAACTCTCCTTCTATTCTTATTTCACAAATCGTTTTACTTTCTTCTCTTTCAAAAACCATAACCTTCGTCTTACTTGCGTTCACTTTCATACCCCTTTCTATTAATGATCTGTTCATTAATGTAACCATCATTTGCAACTCGGCCGCCGACGACGAAAGGATAACTTGATCATCGGCGTACAAAAGGCATTTGATGGTTAACTCACCCATTCTTAACCCGCATTCTTCAACTTTCAAATTTTCCAAACAACTGTCCATAAATAGGTTGAACAGCCACGGGGAAGCTACACAGCCCTGTCTGACACCTTTATAGATGCCAAACCAGTCCGAGTAGGCCCCGTTGATCCTAACACAAGCACTCGAGTCCCTATACAGAGACTTTAATGCCTGTATTAAACCAGCGCTCAACCTAAATGAATTCAGCTTTTGCCATAACACATCCCTGTTCACTCTGTCATAAGCCTTTTCCAAGTCCATGAACGCACAAAAAAATCTTTTTGGTTTTTCACCAAAAACTTCTCTGCGATCATGCGCATGGAAAAGACTTGATCTGTACACCCCATTCCCTTTCTAAATCCCGCTTGCACATCCCAAATTTTTTCATCAGTTTCTTTCATAACTCTTTCAATTAGTACCTTAGCATACAGTTTTCCCACAATGCTAAGAAGTCTGATACCACGGTAGTTTTTACAGTCCTGCTGTGACCCTTTACCCTTATATATTGGGACTATCACGGCTTTGCACCAGTCTCCCGGTACCCGCTTTAGTTCCCAACATAAATTAAATAAGGTGTACAGCAGGCCTGCCCCCACTTCCTCTCCAGCCCTTAGCATTTCGAGTGAAACTCATTAAATATTGAAGATATCAAATTTCACTCAAAGGAAACATTCCTTTGTTTTTAAGAACAATAAGAACAACCAAATTCATTTAAAAAAAATCTTACCTGAGCCGGAAATCGAACCAAAAAAAAAATAGTCGCTATTTTATGGATCCAATATGGTCTAGTATACAATATAACATAGTATGAAATCCAATAATTATTACTTGTCTAATAAAACTAACATCCCAAATAAGACTAGTCCTATTCGATTTTTTCCACCCAGTATAGTCCTACTCCCCATTATATAGTGCCAAGAACGTTAGGTGTGTTTCATTGCTGAATGTGTATATTTAAGAAAGCCAAAAACAGCCTTCTTGTCACCAACAGCAACGACGAGTCGCGGAGACAGTTCCTTTAGTTGTAATATTTAAAAATAATTAATAATATAAAATAATATTCATCATCATCATCATCATTAAGCCTTCACAGTCCACTCTAACATAGCTATTAATAAGAATAATATTCGTTATCATTAAATTAAGTACAGGTTTTGTTAATTTATATATTAGCTTCATATTCCACTATTCATTATCCACTATTATCTTGATTATATTCTTGATCAAATAGCTTGCTAACTACTGTATCCATAAAACTTTTCGGTGTCACGAAAGATTCTAATTTAGTTTCCATAGAAAATTTCCTTCGCTTTCCTTCTGTCGATTTTCCGGCCAACTCTAACGAAGAACTATGTTTGATAGTTTTTGGACGTTTAAGGGTTTGAATTGATTCATCGGTTTTCATTTTATCTGTTGATTGTTCTTCACACCCTTTGTTAATGTACACATTCTTTAGTATATCTTTCGTATCATTACCATCATGATCATGCGACTTTGTAATTAAAGGATTATCGGCGTCCATTATAGAAAGGATGGGAGAAGGTTCATTTAATTTGCAAGAATTTCCAAAAACTACTACTTTTTTATTTCCACCACTGCTCTCATCATCATAATCAGTTTCTCCAGATCTTTCTGCTGCGTCTAATGCCGCCTTTTTTTCTTCAATTGTGCACAATTCGGATTTCTTATTGAAATTTTTAATTGTGATCACGTTTTTGACTAAGTCAGATTGATCATCCGTACATTCAGTACGTTTTTCGTTTATTTTGACAATTTTTGAAATTTCTGAAGTATTACATCGTACAGTTATATCATTAAGTACAGATAATTTATGACAGGAGGACAAAACTGTACTTTTGTACCCCCTCTCAATTTGCGAACTTCCGCTTTTACCGTGAATACCAAAAATACGTTTTATTGATTGACGAAACTGCAAAAGAAATAAAATATATATATGCACAGCTAAAAAAATAAGTATCAATGTAGATTAACTATTACTGTCACCAAAGACCATCGCAGGTTTAGTGCTAAATAGATTGCCAGAAATTACGATCCTGCCACCTACATCCATCGACTACCTGCGTCTGTCTCATCTGCATCGTCTAGTGGGAGGTCACCCAAATCAGCGCTAATGTATGTATGTATGATATGTATGCATTATTCTTTATTATTAATAATTATCATACACACCTGCGTATTCATCCCAACATAAATAAGAGGGTCGTAGCAAATAGAGCTTTTTGCAACTAACGCTGGTATAACTCCAGCACCAGGGGACACCTGCAATAAAGAAGTGTTGTTGAAGATTAATATTTATTTTACTATTCATCCTTGATATCAAATTTAAATTATCATGTTATATAAACTGTCAAATAAAACAAACTTCTCTATAGATTCATCGTTCTAAAGATATTTAAGTAGTATATTTAAATTTTTTTATCGTTCCTATTACAAAAATTACTACAAATTTGTTTTACCAACAATATAATAGAGTTTAGGCGGTAACTTTACTGCCTTTCTGGTTTCGATGATTTTGGTGCTGTAAGCCTATGCGTCTCTTACACCTTGGTAGGACTCGGGGCCCGCAGCCTAAAAGGCCGCGGGCTTTAAAACAGTGAATTCAAGAATTCCGTTTTTTGTTTCGTTATTTGTTTCGTTGTTTGATTCGTTACTTGCACAACGATGACTCCTATAACAGTGTGGAGTGCACGTGGTTGAGGATGAGTTATCTAACGACCGTCCGAACAGGGGGTGGCGCGCCCTGGCTCTGACGGTCAACTCGTGTCGTGTTCTGGGCGGTGAGAACCACCCAGGGACGCGAATGTACGGTGTGTACGTGGTATAAAGGGATGTGCGGCATGTCCGTCTGCGGACTCGCTATATCTCATCCGTTGTCCTTTCAGCGTTTGTGGCACTAGATGAATGTGTAGTGTGTGACGGGCTCGCGACAATGGTGTCGTCGGAATCTAGCGGACTGGGTGTTCAATTTAAACGTTGCAGGGTATCCGGAGGCTTTGCTTAACGTTTTGAGTCAGAACGCAGGTTGCTGCATTTACGACTAGCGGGTTGGGATGTGTCTCAGATTTCTCAAAGTAGCGCCGAGACATTTCCGTGGAATATTCAAAGATCGTCGGGAGTTGATAATCTTTGTGCAGGTCCGAGTTTTGTTGGTACCACCGAGCTCCGGTGGCGATGCGAAGAAATCTATTTAGGATGACTTGGAGGTCGTTCAAATGTTTAAATATAGATCTAACGCAAGCTTTGTAGAGGTGGAGCTTATGCCTTTTAGGACAATTTGCTCTCACTGTTGAATTTGCCATGATTGCGAACAGTGCGGGTGTGTTTCGCGATGGTCATGGAGTGATCGAATGTGATCCCCAGATATTTGGCAGTCGGTTTCCACGGGATCTCGCGGTCGAATAGGGTGCTCGTGCTTGGAGTATTTTTTGTATTTAAGTTCCGACGAAAGAATATTGCTATACTTTTTTCAGCGTTTACTTCAATTACAAAGCGAAGCTCCAACCCTGAGAAGACGCTTGGAGGAGCGAGTTTCCTCTATACAAAACCGGAAATGGCGATTGGCAAGGAAGGCTCTGATGATGTCAGTTAGCCTATAAGGCACGTTACGTTTGAAAATGTTGTAAAGCAAGTCGTCGTGCCAGACTTTTTCAAACGCTTTGGTGACGTTGAAGAAAAGGGCACCAGTGTTGCGGATTTGACCATTATACACAGAGTGGGAGAAGCCCTCTAGGATATGTTCCGTAAGACGGTAGATCTCATTTGTAAACGAGTGTTCGGATCTGAAACTGAACTGCTCGTCAGGAAGAAGCTTGTTAGTAATGACGTGTTTACGGAGGCGATTCGCTATTATACGTTTGTAATGTTTCCCCAGTGCGCTGAGGAGACTAATGGGCCTGTAGCTAGAGGCTAGGTTGCGCGGCTTCCCTGGTTTCGGGATTCCTATGACGTCCGCTTCTTTTAAAACTCTTTTAAAGAGCATTGAAAATGCCTACTAAAAGACAAACCAGTGGCGTTGAAAGGGATTTCAGCACCCTGTTGCTCAAAAAGAAATCAGCACCCGGTTTCTTTTTGTGGTTTTTAATGGGTTCTGTGACTTCCTTGGCAGTCACAGGATCTAGTGGGGGGCCTGCATGTCGTAGCGCAGACCTACACTCGACCTCCGCTTTGACCTCTGCAAGGTGAGCGATATCTATGGGTTCGCTAGAAAGAGTGCATTGGCTCTCTAAACTGTCCGCGAGGCTTTCGGGTTTTTTCAGAGTCATCAAAGGCAAGATCGGGATTTCCTGGCCTAATAAGAGATGTCATGGGTGAGGATTGTTCTGCTTTCAGAGCTCAGGTCAACTGCCAAAAGGCAGTTTGGAATGGCTCGATATCTTCCAGCAGATTATACGAGGGCGGCACTGAAAATTTCGGGAATCAAGAAAGTGACACAACATTACTATTTAAAATGTATTTATTGCTTTTCGAAGTATTCTCTGCGAAAATTGACACATTTTTCCATTTGGAAGTTGGGGTCTCCAAAATAGCCGTTTTATAGGCGTCCACAGCTTCTTCAGGTGATGAAAATCTCTGTTCACGCAATTTATTCTTTATTTTACGGAAAGTATAGAAATCATTAGGGCTTAGGTCGGAGTTGTGCGGCGGATGGTCTAATAATTCCAAGTTTTCTTGCTCTAAAAACTCTTTTGTTCTGTGTGCGGTGTGAGCTCTTTACGGAGTTCAGAAACGACCTGTGACAAACAAATGCTAACATACCATTCTGCATTAACCGTTTTTTGTCCCTCAAGAGGAATAGTCGTACCACGGCCGGTTTTGGAGATAAACGTGGCCACCATTTTTTTTGCAACACTCCGTTAACGAACAATTTTTGTTGGCTTTAACTCATTTTCGAACACCCAAACTCGTGACTGGTTTTTTATTTCGGGTTCGTACGCGTATATCCAGGATTCGTCACCTGATACGATATTATATACAGCATTTGAGGATCCTGCGTGGAATCTTTCGAGAGTTCTGACGCACCAAGTAACGCGAGCCGCTTTTTGCTCTTCACAGAGCGAATGCGATATCCATCGGGAGAACAACTTTTTTACACCTAATTGTTCATGCAAGATTATTTGTATTTGACTCATGCCAATATCTAAAATTGCCTGAATTTCGCGGTATGTCACATGTCGATCTTCCTCAATCAGCTTATGCACAGCATCAACGTTTTCTTGGGTGACTGCAGTTTTTAGACGACCTTGACGGGGATCATCACTGAGCTTGACACGTCCACGTTGAAATCAGCAAACCAGCGATAAATTGTGGTTTTGGATGGGGCTTCATCACCATATACAGAAATCATCCGGTGAACACATTGTTTTTGTGCTAAACCACTTCGAAAGTCATAATAAATCATCGCTCTTGAATTTTCTCGAGTCAATTCCATTTTCTCAACGACTAAACAAGTTTGACAAAACCTTGTGGCAAGACCGAGAATCTTTTTTTAAATAAATAAATGGTATTAAATTTTTAAAACAAAGGAGTTTTCAATTAATTTTTTTTAATATGACAGGAACAGTGAAAATTTTCCATTCCCGATACTTTTAATGCAGCCTAGGTACCACTTGTCCTGTCTGAATTCTGCAATGCGCTCTTTTACCTCGTTTTGGAGGTTGCGCAATCTAAATTTATTATAAATAGTGCGGTAGTGACCATACTGTCCAAGGGCCGCGTTTTTCGCTCTGATCAATTGTTGAATATCCCCCGGAAGCTTCAGGAGTCGATTGCTCGACACGCGAACCTTTCGAGAGCATTCTTCGACCGCTGATGTGAGGTGGGCCGATAGGACGTTCGCCTTATTGGCTTCTTCTGGCGATTTTGTCGGGAATCGTGACTAAGTTCTAGGAGGTCGTAGACTCGAGTTTGACCTCGAGTTAAATCGATCTCGCTAGTCCACAATGGTTTTGATCTGAAGGACCTCACCTGTGGGCTGGCAAAGCCTTAAAAGAACTGGTCTATGGTCCGAGTTAATTGGATATTACGCTATATCAAGGACGTGCGGTCGATATCTGGTAGTGAATTAGTAATGCATTGAAGTCTTCGGTGCGATAACATCGAAATTTAGTCAGTCCATGAGCTCGAACAATGCATTACCATTAAGGTTGTAAGCAAGTTCCAGAAGGAATGCATACTGTTGAGGTCTCCAGCTATTATGACACTGGGATCGTGGATTAATAATTCTGGAATGCCTGATTCTATAATACGCTTCGTAGGTGATAAGTATGCCGACAGGATAAGGTAAGTGGCGGATGGCCCGACAGAGCTACTTTACATATAGAGACTTCTGTGTTAGTTAACGGTGGAGCTTCCGCCAGCGTATTGGTCCTGCTTTATCATTTAAAATATATTTTGAAGTAGATTTTGATACGTAAAAGTAATGCGATTTTATGTAATATATGTCTGAGCATATGAACTGGAAACGACGAAACAAGTAGAAATAAATTACAAGTTATTTTGTCTGCTTAAGCGGCTTAAGAACTTGAAATACTGTCGTCATCGACTATAAGTAGGGTTAAACTGTCGCCAAAATCTTCCTGGAACTTCTGTGTCATATTGTCATTGTCATATTGTTAAGAATTTTTTGAAAAAAAAATATTATTAAAGGATATTTTTTATTAATTGACACTGGTAAAGGTACTCGTATAACCGTATGAGTCAATTACTAACGAAAAACAAAACAATATAAAACAGTTAGTATACAGACAAGCAACAAATTGAGATGAAAAATGTAAACACGCTTACTTTTATTAGCAATTTCGATTTTTGTGTCATTTAGAGTATTATTTTACTACACTATCAGGCTATTAAAGTACTAAAAAGATTTTCCGCATCTCTTGCCTGTCCGTCATTCCATCCAGTGGGGGGCCGCCCTACATTTCACTTGTCGGTTCGAGACAGCCTTTCTTCCCCATCGGCTGTCTGTTCTTTGAAGTATTAGCTGGCCCTTTTGCCAATTCTGAAAGGCTGTCCCATGTCAAATAAGAGAGGCAGGAAGTAAAGAAGTCGATGGATGTAGGTAGCTTAGAACCATTCCGCAAATGCATTGTATGTGGTGCAGGTAATATAATAAACGTTTGAACCGTTTTTTCCAATAAGAAAATTGTAAATGCTTAAACGAAGTATTACCAATACCAAGTATTTTATTAGAATAATTATTTTAATTGTAATCCGGCGTACACCACTAGTTATTGTATAATCGTGTACTTGTGAATGATTCATACTTGTGTAAGTTTATTTAGTTGCAGAAAATAAATAAGTATAATCATTTTTACTTTTGTATAAAATTATAATTATTTTAATTTCAATAAAAAGTTAGCAAAAATGTATTTAAACAGTCCTGAAGTTGTTTGGTCCTCTTTCTTGTATGTTCTGAAACAGACGTCATGCGGAAGGTAAAATTTCTCCGTAAAATAAAGTTTACTAAAACGTCACGGACTGAGGCTGAAACATTTCGGTATATAGGAGCTGATATCTTAGCCTTAACTGAAAGCAGTACCGGAACCATAACGAAAAATAAAGAACCGTACCGAAATTTAGAACCATTTTTATTCCCTGCTTATGCCTTAAAACTAAATATTTGTATGAGAAATGTCGAGTATTAACTGTGAGGCAACTGAACATTTTGAAATTATATACTAAACAGCATATGGTTACCATTTATAATGCCACTGATTATAACAAAAACAGGGTTATAAAAAATGTATGTTTACCAATAACATGTTGAACAACCTCTGCTAGACTGCAACATGCATATAAGGCTATATATTTATACAACAAAATTAATACGTTAGCAATAGTAGAAAAGTTAAAATTAAAATTAGAAATTGGCTATAAGGATTAGATTATGAACAAACTGAATCGTCGATATTAGTATAAAACAAATTAACAAACATGCAAAAAAAAATTGTTTAAATCTTAAATTTCAACCACACACACGAACACACGCAAATGCACGTACACTCACGCACACTCACTCACACACACACACACACACACACACACACACACACACACACACACACACACACACACACACACACACATACACATGAACACACAGATTTTAAAATTGCTTTATTTACATAAAATAATTAGTTGTCATTATATTAGGGAGATCACTGACTCGTACAAATTTTATGTCAATAAAAATTATTATTATTAATATTATTATTATTAAATATAACACTTACGATGCTTTTAGTTGCGAATTGTTCCATTAAAGCGAAGAGGGAGTATGGTGTCCATGCAATGGTAAAGGATATGATCATTATGAATATCATTGCAGTTGCACGAGCCTCTGCACGGTTTACACGTCCAAGGCGTCGAGAGTTCTATAATAAAAAATAATTTTGATTGTCTTGTATGAAGTAATCTACGTGAAGTTTACAATTATGTAATAGTTAAGTTAAGTTACAGCTTTTTACTTCCCACTGCGGGGTACAGGCCTCCATTCATTTCTGAGAGGGTTTTAGAGCAAGGAAATATCTACCGCGCTTCCCCAATGCGTGTTTGCAGACTTCAAGTTTCTTCGAAATATTTTTTAATTCCACAGACATGCAAGTTTCCTCACGATGTTTTTCTTCGCACGTGGTAAATCAGAACTTTAAATTTTAATTCACAATTCAAAAAACAACAATTCAATAGGCAAAACGGAAAACAATAATTCCATTGGTACTGGCGGGGATTGAACCCAGGTTGCTCGGGTACTGTAAAATACAGTGAGCTTTTAACCTCCGAGCTTTTTAATAGTGGCGTTAGATAATTTAACATATACGGGGCTAGTTATTAACATGACTGTGAAAATATTTTAAATCAGCAAGACCAAAAGCAATATTCTCTTATAACTTGGTATACCAAGTTGGTCAACTTAAATTTACATAAAATATTTAATTAAGTAACAGATTATGTAGCTCGATATACGGGAGAATGATTTATAACTGCAATAATTAGTTTGTCCTTGAATCTGACTTTGCTTTTCGGACGACGGAAGATATACGCTGTTCTAAAATTTAAAGTATTAAGGTGTTGATCTTAACTGCAATCTGAGTTTGATAAAAATACATTTTAATAATGAGAGAAACGCGTAAATTTCTTTTAAATCTAATATAGAATATGTCTAGATGAGTGATACTACACCTAATTTCATCGTAATAGCACATTTTAATAATGGATTTTTAAATAGGATTAACGAATTTCTTTAAATTAATATTTTTGTTAAAATATACTTATCCAACTGCTTACACTGTTATACCTACCTATTATATGTAAATGAAATAATATATCTCTGTTAATTTACGGCATTCGTGTGTCAGTATCGAAACACAAAAGGCAGGCAAAACTCTTCAAGACTCGATCCTCGGGATGGAATTACTATCTATAATCGATATTGTACCTTTACTTTTGTGCCTCTACTAAGTTGTAGAACTCCTTAGGAGTCCGTCTGGGCGAATACCATCCTCTTACCTACTTCTATCACATTCTATCCAAATAACAGTGCTTGCACTGCTGACTTAATGGGAAATAATGACAGTAAGTGAGAAATCCCATCATAAACTTCAGAAGTTTCAACGCATCTACGTTCTCGTTTCTCTTTCTTTTTGACCTGTGTTTTATGACTTGTGTTTTAAATTAACTATCTCACTATACTATATACAGAACTAGTATAATTACAGACTTATATTATACGAAGTCTCCTTTTCTTAATAAGAGCCGGTCTTTGCTCACCCCGTTCACGTACCACCCAGTTACTTAAATCTGCCGGAAAAATGGCAGTGCTTGCCTTGTCGTTATCGGTCTGAACTTTATTGAGAGCCAGTATGATAAACGGCCAGGAAGCATTCCATGTTAGTTCTCAACGGTGTCCATGGACTGCACTAACGCCACTTACCATCAGGTCAACTGTAAGTTATTCCAACACTGATATTTAAAAAAAACTGCATTTTAACTTTATTAACTCATAATACACTTTATCTTACCTGTCTCATTGTACGGATGATGTTGACGTAGCTATAGGTAATGATAGTGAAAGGAAATATCTGGCCCATTGCGAAGAGAAACAAAATGTATGTGAGCGTGTTTAGCGATTGCTCGTGCCAATTCACTGAACAACTGCCAAAAGGAAAAAAATCTGAACCGAAAAGACATTATCACAGTAGTAGATAATCGTGACGTTTGAAGTATTTTTTACGATTTATCAAAATTATAAGTTTTTCGTAGAAATATTCTTACAATATGTTATGTTTCTCTTGTAAACGAATAAAATGAACATTTCATATTTTATTTTTAAATAAAAAACCATTTTTAAATAAAAAACCAACCACCATTTTAAATTTTAATTAAAATTTAAAAACCTATGGTAAATATGCTCAAATAATATCACGTAAAAAAATTACAGCTCAGTTATTTTAGGTCCCCCTGGGCACAGGCCTCTCGTTTCTGAGGGTGACAAGGATCATGTGTCCGCAGAGCTTCTCCAATGACTTCACGTGTCCTTGAAATATTTTATTTTGCTATATATTACGACATTTATAAGAAATATCACAGATAAAAGGTTACTTCATTGAAGGCTGATCAAAGAAAAATTATTCATACGATAAAATACAACATTAACAAATTCAAAATGACAGTTGTATAAATAAATTAGCTAACATGTTACAATTATATATTTAGTTAGGTTCTAATTTATCATGAAATAACAATTATCCATCAAAGATAACTGTTATTTCATGATTAAAAAAATTAGCTCTAAGAAAATAAAGAAGAGACTAACACCACTAAAATAAAGAATAACATACACTATACACTAAAATAAAGAAGTGTATAAACAAACGAAAGAAGAGCCTATTGTTTCACCAACGAGATTACGTAGAAGAAATAAATATTCTAAATGAATTTGCAGTCAGAAATAAATCCGTGCACAATCATACAATACACTTTTACTAATAGTTATATTTCGTTTAGTGTCTTCATTCATTACAGTCTATTAAAATTCACGCTTGGCAGCCTAATTGGCAACCGTATTTTTTTAATTATTTTAAGTTTGTTGTCAGGATGATGCTGCTTCCATCTTCTGTTTCAATTTACTCTGTCGCCTCTAACGACACTGCGATAACATGGAATAGTGAATCCTTTTACACTACCACTACACGGCAAAGTTAGAGTATATATTCAGAATAATTACCTAATGTTTGCAGCCTCGTTGACATAATTACCCCATCCAAAAAGTGGAGGAGTGGTGAGTGCCAACGCATAAACCCATATGAACGCAACTGACATAGCGGCGCCTTTGGAAGTGAGATGTCTTGAACTAAGGGCTCTTGTTACCATTAAATACCTTTCAAAAGATATTACTGTCAGTGTTGTGATTGAAGTTATCCCTGAAAAAATAAAAATAAAATAAAGTAACCTATATATCCCCAAAGCTGGCCATAAGTCTTCTCAGGACTATGGAGTAAGCAAAAAGAGATTGTGGAACGAACTATCGAGCAGTGCACATGCCGCCACGAGCAAGGTATCGATCAAACGCTTGTTCTGGAATCATTTTCTGGCGTTTCTGGAGTAGTTTGTGGATTAACTTTTTGATATCCTTAATTCTAACTGTTCCCTTTTCCTGTTTTTATTTTTAAATATTTTACAGGTGATTGAATTAGAAACAGCTATATTTAATTATGTATGTACTATGTATGCATATATACACAGGCAGTAAGCAAATATATATATATATATATATATATATATATATATATATATATATATATATAATGTATATATATATATATATTGTATGTCTATATAATATACACGTGTAATTTAGTTTATAATATGTATCGTAATATGTAATGTGTATGACATATGACTATTCATAGATATTTTAACTCAGTTGCGCTTTACACCCTCAATATCTTCTCTGCTTAGCCTGGAGGTAGACTAGTAGAGAATGCCTTGTTGTATTAAGTCCGCCTTTTTGTACTTGATGTGCAAATTAAGCATAAATAAATAATTTTTAGTGGGAACGGGGAAGGGGAGGGTGGGAGGTGTTTAAGCTATACTTTGTACTGTAAAATTTATGACGAGCGCTTGATCCTTTATTATATAGTACATAGTAGCTTCATTGTTATATCATATATAGTAGATAGTAGCTAATTGTTATATCATATATAGTATATAGTAGCTTCATTGTTATATAATTAAGTAGTTTTGAGAACCAACCTAACAAAGACATGAAGAACCCGTAGAGCACGCACATTGTATGACCAAATATCCAGCGATGAAATAGGGCGGATATAAGTGTGAACGGATTCCCCAGGACAGACACGGAGAAATCAGAGCATATTAAATTAAAAAGTATTATATTTAAAGGCGTCCAAAGCTGAAAAAAAATGAACAATTAATGACTTTTAATCAAGAAAATTTAGAATATTATTTAACGTAAATTTTATGAATGACACAGAGAAGACATTTTAGATTTAGATTTGAATATATTCCCTTATTATGATGCTTAAAATCTTTATCTACTACATACCTCACTCAATTCATACTTATTATATAATCGCTTAGACTGTTACAAGATTGGAAGTAGGACGGTTGGTAAGAAGATGCGTTGTTGAGGAAAAGAAATTGTATCTGTGTAAGCGCAGTCTTTTTAATTATTTTAAGTTGGTGTCAGGAAGATGTTGTTCCAGTTCCCTTCTGTTAACCTTTATGATATGGGGTAGTGAATTCAATTAATCCACTTCCACAATTTGTTGTGGTATGGTATTACTTTTTAATAATATTCTCCCGGTAAAAATATTAATAAAAAATAAATACAAATGGTATTTCTTTTCTATTATTATTTTTCCATTTTAACAGTCATCATATGTGTGTGTTCATAAATTATTATATAAATGAAATAATGTTTAATGCTCATTAATTATTTACCTGTCGGTCTTTAAACATAAGTAAAATGGCCAAAAGGTTGAGGAAAAATCCGAAAAAACCGATTATAAACAACACGAAAGCGGATGCCACGTATCCCCATCGTGGCATTAAAAGTGGGAATTCTTCATACGTCGCAATCACTGTATCATTAAATTGCTCTAGATTTAAGGTCATGGTTACATTCAATCAAAGTGAGGCGGTTCCAGTTGCAACACGTACCGCTGTTTTCTTATTTTTATTTCTCGTTCAACTGACAAGACTCATCTAGATAATCTCTCTGTAAATAAAAAGAAGCATCGAAAATTTAATGATTTTTTTCAATGATGAATGATGAGATCAAAAAGATAAGTAAAGCCAAAAACTTTTATTTAAAAAGCTACTTTTCAATAGTGATGACACTATGTAACCATTTTTGTGATAAATCTTCAATCCCAACTAAACTACTACTAGCGACATCTAGCGAGTGTAAGATTATAAGCCTTCATTATCACGCCAAGCAGGACTGATGTTCGTAAAGCCGCATGTTATGGAGTGTAGAAGTAAGGAGTACCAACTCCCATAGTAGAATAGTTGAAAAAGTGGCCATCTGTAAGCAGTAAATAACAGTTCAAAAACACTCCACAACAGCGCTGGAGTAGCTACTTAGCAGTTGTCGACGGTTTAAGTGTGCTGCTAAACTACTCAGTAGCTCTAAAATCTAAAATAATTTTATTTAGTAAATGTAACCTCGAAAAAGTCGTCTATCCCACTAATATTTTTCGGTGCGTTCTTTAAAATTTACCCCGTAGTTATACCGTTTCGCGCCACCCTTATTTAACGGTTTTCTTTGGACACTTTTTAATACTCAGTCTGTACTTCTTACTTCTACACTCCATACCACACGTTTTGAACCTTTGACGCGTATATAACTTAATGCTTTGACGATTCTACCCATCACCGTTCTAACTGTCTTTACATAGTATAAAACAAAGTCGCTTCCCGCCGTCTGTACGCTTAGATCTTAACTACGCAACGGATTTTGATGCGGTTTTGATCAATAGACAGAATAATTTATAGGAAAGGTTTATATGTTTAATACATGCATATTTTAATCATGATGATAATATTATCAATCACTTCACACTGACACCTGATTAGTCTCTACATTTCACCCGGGTGAAGCCGCAGCAGGTCGCTAGTTTTATTTAAACAAGATTGTTGTAACGCCATCTATCGGAAACTTTTTACCATAGTCGCCACTTATGATACACACGGGACGAAATGGGGTAATAACAGAATTTGATTATACAATCACTTTACATTGCATTGTGTATTTTTCTATCAGAAGTTTACAGTATGGCTGATAGGTTGTCACTGGAGAACCTTTCTACTAATCAGTAGTCAGTCCTTTTAGCTATATATATTTGTTTAAACGTTACCCTCACATTAGAACTTTTTCTCGTATAGTACTAACTTTATAACGAAACTAATCTAAAGAACTAACAAAATAAACTGTTCCTAACTTGGCTTTATTTTAGGTTAAATAGTTTCGAGCATTGTATTCGTTCTTATACTTTCATTTACTCAAGAATGTGAACAAAGTTTACAAGTTTATTTTTTGGTTTGCTCCCAACGATATAAATTCTTGACATTTTGTTCCTTTAGGTATCTACACAAAACAGAATAAAAAACAAACATAATAAAAAATACGATTTCAAAACGTGAATAGCCTATAGAGTTTACAAGATAAAACATTTGCAGTGTAGCTCATGCATGGTCTGGATTTCTTCAATTTTACATAATCTTTTACGTTACGTATGTCGTGGATCTTTGTAAGATAATAACAGAATAACAATCCGTGTACGTATTCGTCTAGTGCTCTCAACCGAAAACATCATTGCTATTGCTCAGAGTGTCTGTGAACAACATTCAACATAACCTCGTCACCGTTCTCAAGAATTGAAACTTTAACGCTCTCTTTGAGAAGAATTTTGCATAAAGATCTAGCTATGAATGCGTACAAAGTTCAATTAGTAGAAGAGCTGAAGCCGCATGAACATCCGATGCGTTTTCGGTTTGCTTAGTGGGCCGAAGACCACTTTACCGAAGATGAGCATGTTTACCGAAAAAAAATATTTTCAGGTGA